TTGGAGCCAAGGCAGAATGTATAAAAGTTAACGCTGAGCTTCAGTCTGCAATGTTCAAAACAACAGATAAAGCCAGAAATCTAGGTGTAGTCATGGACTCTGACCTGAGTTTCAACAGTCACATTAAAACGGTTACTCAATCAGCTTACTATCACCTAAAGAATATATCTAGGATTAAAAGACTAATGTCACAGCAGGATTTGGAAAAACTTGTCCATGCTTTTATCTTCAGTAGACTGGACTACTGCAATGGTGTCTTTGCAGGTCTCACTAAAAAATCTATTAGAAAGCTTCAGCTAATTCAGAACACCGCTGCTCGAGTCCTCACTAACACTAAGAAAGTGGATCACATCACTCCTGTTCTGAAGTCTTTAAACTGGCTTCCTGTGTGTCAAAGAATAGATTTCAAAAATACTGCTGCTGGTTTATAAAGCACTGAATGGTTTAGGCCCAAAATACATTTCTGATCTCCTGCTAAATTATGAACCATCCAGATCTCTCAGGTCTTCAGGGACTGGTCAGCTTTCTGTCCCCAGAATCAGAACTAAACATGGAGAAGCAGCGTTCAGTTATTATGCTCCAAATATCTGGAACAAACTCCCAGAAACCTGCAGGTCCGCTGCAACTCTTACTACTTTTAAATCCAGGCTGAAGACTTTTCTTTTTGTCGCTGCTTTTAATTGAACTATTCATATCTTAGACTGCACTGTAACTTTTCTTTTTTCTTTTAATGTTTATTTTATTAACTTTTCTTTTTAATGACTGATTTTAAATGCCATTTTCTTAATGTCTTTCATTTTTTGTAAAGCACTTTGAATTGCCTTGTGTTGAAAAGTGCTATATAAATAAACTCGCCTTGCCTTGCCTTGCCTTGCCTTGTGTGTGCCACCAGGCGGAGCGTTTGAGGTGAAGCAGCACGGGTTCTTCACCGAGCTGGACTGGAACAGCCTGCTGAGACAGAAAGCAGAGTTCATCCCTCACCTGGAGTCAGAGGAGGACACCAGCTACTTTGATAGTAGGTTCCTCTGGATGTATGCGTCACTGCAGCAGTTACATCAATATTCGCTCTATGGGGTGTCCAACAATTGTCTGACACTGTTCCAGTTAGAAAAGCACTTTTCATGTTAAACTGACAGCTTATATAATTCATCTCTCTACCTCTCTCCCCTGCCAGCGCGCTCAGATCGGTATCATCACATCAATACGTACGACGAGGATGACACCAATGACGATGAGCCCGTGGAGATCAGACAGTTCTCTTCCTGTTCTCCTCGCTTCAGCAAGGTTTGTCTTCTCTTTCATCTCTCTCTTACTCAGTTTTTATTCCTTTTTGGCTGTTTCATCTTGTGTTATTTTGTCACTGGACACTGGAGATTAGTTGACAGGTTGAGTAAGTATCGCTAGGCCTTGTCTCTTTGTGTGTTAAATGACATCTTTTATCTTTTTCCCTAACCACTGTTTCCATGGCTGTATCTCTATTAATTATGGTCTCTCTCTCTCTCTCTCTCTCTCTCTCTCTCTCTCTCTCTCTCTCTCTCTCTCTCTCTCTCTGTCTCTGCCAGTTTTTTCTTCTTGCCACACTTTCCCTTCTCGGATGGGATTTTCTCACCTCATGCTCGTCTATTTATCCTTTTTTGACTCCCTCCCACTACCAACTTCCCTCCCTCTCTCACTTGCTCTCCTTACATCTGCCTCCCCTCGGTATCTCACCTTGCATACACTCTGTTGTTTCACCCGTGAGGTCGTGGAGGAGCTCTTCAGAAAACTGAGGGCGCCTCATTGAGGGGCTTCAATTCAATAACATTTTAGATGTATTTGAAGTTACGGTCAAGGGCTGTTGAGTGGCCTCGTTTAAAGCAAAGCATGTGAACANCTCACACACACACACTCTCTCTCTCACACACACACACACACACACACACACACACACACACACACACACACACACACACACACACACACACACACACACTGTGTGTGTGTGTGTGTGTGTGTGTGTGTGTGTGTGTGTGTGTGTGTGTGTGTGTGTGTGTGTGTGTGTGTGTGTGAGAGAGAGAGTGTGTGTGTGTGAGAGAGAGAGTTTGTGTGTGTGTGTGTGTGTGTGTGTGTGTGTGTGTGTGTGTGTGTGTGTGTGTGTGTGTGTGTGTGTGTGTGTGTGTTTGTTCATAGTTCAAGTAATCATTGGTTTCTCAGGAGATACTCAGGAGCTATAAACAGTAAGTCAGGACTGCATGCTGCAATCTTACAGGAAAAGTTCATGGAGGAGCTGATTTAAAGATCAGCTGAATCTCATTGGTGATCCATAGTAACAATAGATGAAAATAAGTTAGGTGAGGTAATGCTTAAAATAAAAAAAACCTCTCATCTGATCCTACTTAATACAGTTTTAATATGCCTATTGACCCTATAATACAAATATTGTTAGCATTAGGCCTAATATTACCCCAAACTGAATTCAAACAAACATTTAAACACAATATTTAACACACACTGTGTGCAAGGCGGTCGCTAAGTTAACATGGTTAGCAAGATTCATCCATAATTTGGGTAGGATACTAGGATATTAATTAGGATGCTTTCATAGAGCAGAGTACAATCACACCACACTGTAATAGCAACGTCATGGTAGCGACTTGTCATCACAAGCAGTGCTTGAATTGGAATAAAAAAGGTGCCAGTACTCTAAATCAGCAACAAGTATTTGGCACAAAGTCATAGTATATCCTATAATGCTGGTGGGTTTGTCTCTTTACTGTATATTTTAGAAAGGCTCACTGTACTTAAACAAAATGACTCAGGGTGCATCTGAGATTAGAGGGGGTGCAGTGGTAAAGTGCTATTTTTATAAGTGGGGAGTGGACCTGACACCCTCTAGTCTAGGGGGGTCCGGGGGCATGCCCCCCCGGGAACATTTTTTTTTAAATATTGAAGTTAGATGCATCAATCTGGTGCACTTTGAGAGCAAAATGAAGAGATATATGGATACCTCTCAACATCCATAATGAAACAACTGTAAACAGATTTACTTTTTCTTTATGGATATAAAAGAAAGTAAAGCTTGACTCCTACTGGCTGGTTAAATGACTCCTCGTCCCTGAGGCCACTACCAGTTTTTTGTGCCATTTTGCTGGATTTATTTGTCAATAGCGTTGCTGCACAAAGTGATAGCCCTCGAGTTTAAATCTACTACCCAAAAAGAAACATATGGAGATGGGTTACTATTTAAAAAAAATTGCAAATCTATTTGGGAACAGTGGGGCC